AAGTATTTGCTGCCACATTGACGTACTTGCAAATCACTTTAGGAATCTCAGATACAAGAAAAAGGAGAAGCATGATTAGAGTGTTTTACATATTAAACAACAAGGTTCCTGTTACCTCTGAAGATGTGCAAGTCCTGCTCCATGGAAATGGTCACATTTCATTTGCAGACAGGCTTTTCAGCTGACTGCAAATGTACATGATCATAGCTGAACAGAGGTGGCGTTCAGTCCAGTGCGACATGCATATGGGCTCTTTTGTCCTTATCTGACTGAGATGCTTAAGCAAATTAGCTAAAGAGAAAATGTTTTAAGAAAGGTCAAATTTCATTTAAAGTATTTGAGGTCACCTGCAGTCACAGGCACAGGCATTAACTGCAGTAAACATTTCACTTTCATTATGTGAACATTTGCTCGAAACGTTGCTAAGCTAATGTTTCAATAACATAAATTTACAGATCACAAACTCTTTGTCATACTGAGTTGAGGTGAACCCTGAAGTCAGTAAGCCAGCGTGAACATGTTGCGAAATTTAAACAACTCACACAGTAGCAAGGTTTTCTATGCAAAGCTGCACAATATGCAGAATTACAATCATCAGTTTCAAGATGTGTGATTGCAAACGATTGTCCAGTCACAGCATAAATGACTGAGATGCTAGAATAGTTTCTAGAATAGAAAGTATTGGAAAAGAAGTGAAAAATGGAGAAACATCTGCCGTTTGCTATCAGTAACATTGTTATTATGTTAAACACTGTTGTTGTTGTTTTGTGCAGCCTGAGCCAGATAAGCTCTGATTTAAATTTTTTTGTTTTCATTGTAGTAGAGAATCTTCAGACCCAGCCCATGAAAATAAAAGACTGAAGCTCATGCTTCAGTCTTTTATTTATTTTTGCTTGGTCTAAACTCTCCTCACTCCTTACTCACCATAGCTGTAGGTACTTAAAATCTATCCATTTTGTCTCTGACTTAGGTTTGGTGACATTCTCTCAATGGTTGGAGTTACTTCTTGCAATTACCGTTTTATTTTTTAACATGCTTTTCCTCATGTCGCATCCCTCTCTGGGCGGCACGCCACGCACGTTGAAGAGCCCTGCTGTAGCACTTACAGGGCATGGCCAATTTGCAATGCACATCCCGCATGCTTGCCAATAGTACAGTATGATGGGACGTTTTCACAATTTTGGAACTTCTTCTGACTCTGTTGCTGATAATCCACCCATAAACAGTCCAACAGCATTTCCCCTTATGGCAGCTTAGTTGAGGTTAACCGTGAAGCTAATGGAGGTTTCATGGTAAGTCCTTGCTTACTGATGACGCTAAGAAACTCTTAATGAATAGGTTTAATCCTACTTCATTTATTTTTAAATAACAAATTAATTGCTGACTAAAGAAGTTTCATAATATGAAGTAATGGGCTTTCAACTACTTTGTGGCTCAATAGTCGTAGGAAGTAGAAATGTACCAAAAAGTCTGAAAAACACAATTGCATCCATGCAAAATGCAAGAGAGTGCAGCTCATGAACTCTTCAATGAGAGTTCATGTCATTGTCCTTGGGCAAAATATTGATCCCTACTTTGACTTATGGGTTCTTTTTGTGACGCAGGTTAGAGGACATTGCCAGCAATATTCAAGAATTTGCCTCCTGAGGTTTACTGGAGCAACAAAACATGAAACATTTTTGCACCTTTTGTTTATTAGCGTGTTAATGCGTTACCAAATTAGGTTTTTCAGTCAATATTTGAATTGCCCATTGTGTCTCATTAAGACTAATGGTATCACCAATATTACTGAGAGAACATACAGTGCGCATTCCAGGAAAGTTATTTGAAATCCATAATTATAAACTATTTAATTAAACAATGCTATGAGAGAACATCTTGTGAGGTTGATATCTTTTTCTTAGAAACATCAGTGTCTACAACATAAAAAAAAACTCCTTCCTTGAATGATTAAAATACTCAGAATTCATTCCCATAATTCGTGACACATGAATAAATCCAGTCTAATAAAAGTTTTTACAGTAATACAAATTTATGTCAACCATATGATTTGATTAGGCTGAAACTAAACAAACATGCTGATGTTCATGTTGAACTCACTGCTTCAAGTTTTGCTTTAATGCTCGAGGGTGCATAGTTTGTACAAAGTTAAGCTAAATGACTAAATTTAATACTTATCCTCCCCACTTTAAGCACAGACAGTATGGCGGCGTCAAATTATAAACACTCAGCCGGGGGTGTTGTCCATTTCGTCATCCATGTGGTCAAAGGGGGGATTAGAATTGGGAGGGATGCTGTCAGAAAGTATGATGGGTGACTGTGACCGTGACACCTTTTTCCTGTCTTTTTTTATTTCCTGTGCCCCCTCCTCTGCTTTGCTCCCGGTTTTCCAGACTACAATAACGGCGCATGCACACAGGTCTGGTCTTTAAAGGCTACTACGTCATTAGAGCTGGCAAGACAATGACCAGAAGGTCGTTGAAGCCTGCTTGCAACGCCGCTTCCGAGTCAGGCACAGTGGCATTGTTGACCAATGCTGATTTTGAAAGTGCATGGGTCAACAGTTTATCGTGTTACTCTTCAGTTTCATCACTGTCCCAGATTTGTTCAGCGACTATGAACGGGTGTCAGAGTTTGTTAGGTTGCCATCCAGATATATATCTGTAACCCATGATGCTTTGCATTCTTTAGTTTTGCTTACGTATGAAACAGTCAAAAAAAAAAATGAAGGAATGTCAATTATTACACCTTAAATTAAACAGGATAAAATAATCATAAAAATTCATTACTCTTTTAAAGATTTTAAAGGAGAAGTTCTGGCAAAGGAAAATGTTGTTTTGTTTGTTGGTTTATTTGTGTTCTTATACATCAAGCATGAAATGCATTTCTACATGACAATTTCTCTTTGTCTTTGAAGACAGAAGTTCCTCATTGCCATTATCTGGGCCAAACGTTAGAAAGGGCTTGCAGGGGCACCAGCCCAGGACCCAATTTTTGGGGCAACTCTTCCAAATTTTTATTTTATTTTATTTTATTTTTTTAACCCTCCAACCTTAACCCTAACACATAGACCTATATCAGATGAGTTGTACTAATATTTTGGCATTTTTATGAGTATAAGCAATATTCAAGTATTTGAAAATTCTGAAGTTATATTAATTTATTTTGGGAAGAACATGGTGTTTCTGCCCAAGGGACATATTCGACTTACCACCAAGAGTTCCATAGTATTCAACCGCTTGTACTGTAATTTGCATTAGTAAAGTAATTTTTCTTTGGTGGATTGGGCACCAAACCCAGGGGCCCACATCTATGTAAGTCTGGCCCTGGCTAATCTGTAGCTCCAGTTACGAGAAAAATGTGAAAAATTAAGATGATTTTAAAACTAAATCTTCCAAGGATGTGAATAATTTTGGGGTTAACTGCAATTTTATATTAATTAGAAGTACATACTAGATGTAACACTTCTCTGTCTTTTGTTGTTTAATTAGAGAATCTACCCAAACCCAGTCAGTTCTACAGAAACACCAGGAATTAGACGGATTCACATACTTCCCAGTCCCTCTGTTGCAACTATTATAGCAGCATGGTGGGCGTCCGTCATGAGCGCGGACAAAGAGTCCGTTTCTTTCCTGACCCGCAGGATGCATTTGAACCCATAATCAAAGCCGGGGGTGTCTCCGTTTTCTGCGTCCAAGGGCGCAGGTGTGTCCGGAGGGTTTATGGGGACCACACACCCTGTTAACCGCCTGCCTGGTCAGAGTGACCTAAGAAGGGGGAGAGGGCGAGTCGTTTCCCTGACCCTCACTATCATTAGCCTCGCCACACTCCCGTGGCCGATGCCGAGTGACGGCCTTGGACAAACACCACCATCTGAGTTCAGTTAGAGGAGTTTCTGCGCCCTGTGGGTTAGCGTGCGAGCGAGACCCCAGGCAAAAGACGAGCCAGTCGGAAACTTTAACTCACATGTGGTCACTCCAGCTTTGAAGCGTCGCCGTCCTCCGAAGGGGGAAAAAATGACACAGTTATTGAAACAGATGCAGCAGTAGTAGGTTTGCAGACGTAATGGACTTTAAATTACAGTTCTGATTCACTGTTAGAGTGGTGAGGGGATCGGATGAGCTAACTCTAGTCATTATATTAAAAAAAAGTCTTGCCTGCAAAGCTTTATGGAAAAGAAACTAAATGGCTGTAAACAAAGCCGTGTTTCTGACTGTAACTTTTCTCAAGTAATTCTCATCAAGGCCTTCTAGGAAATGTCCTTTTTTTTTCTTTTTTTTACTGTTGCTAAACTGTGAAAGCATGTTGGACACGGTCCTCTGGGTGTTGACGCTGTAAACATCTGCACACGCGGGGGACTCACTTTGGTCTTTGTTAGATTGCGCAGCTGCGTTTTTGCGACATGTTCCCATGCTATTTCTACAAGTTCCAGTATTTTCTACTCGTAACAGTTCAAACTCTTCCCAAAGGAATACATTTTCCTCATTTGAAAATTTCCACCACTTCTCTGCCTTTTTTTTTTGGCTGAACTCGTTCTTAGGGACTTTTGTGTTGCGTGCTCAGGTATGTCAGTAAGCCGCCCGCCCGCTCGCCTGAGGCCACGCGAGGAAGCAGGATGTAAATGACTTCAGTGAATTACCCTGGTAAGTAAAAAGGAAGTAGGTGGGGGCACATGCTCAGGCCTGCATCGGGAGGGGAGGAGCGACAGGGGCCTCCTCTGAGGCTGTGTTACCCAGTCAGTCAGGGCATTTTATCACTATATGTTTCCTGCCTGACGCCACATCAGAAAAGAGAGAATAGGAGGCAGAAGCAGGCACAACGACCTGTTCTGAACTGAACACTTGTCACTTTTTTAAGGGCATTTTTGGGCTTTTCTTTCGTGTCGGTTTTGGCGTTTTTTTTAAGTGACAATGGGACTATGTTGTTCTGAAAAGCAGAAGAGAAACTTTGAGATGTCGTCAAGTTGGCAAAAGGTGAGATTATTTTTTTTGTCGCTGGAGTCCCGTCTGCTGTGTTTAAAGATGAAACAAAGAATGAATGAATTGTTTTGAACTTGGATAGAAACTTTTCTTTAAAACTTTGTTTCAGTCCTGATGGTGAGAATTTGGGTCAGACATTCAGAGCCGATTCCATGGAACAGCTGATTGACATGCACATATTCAGAGGAAACGTTTCAAATCTTTTTACTAGTCTATTTATTCCATCTGTGCTAGTAATGCTTTTGTTTCAGCAAAATTATTTTACTTTTTTCTTTTTTTGATGCATTTTTTCCCTGCTGATGTAAAATCTTACACACATTAGTGCAACTCAATCTGACATGTCATCAATGTGCCCTGCGTGTCCCAGCTGAACTACATGACCCTGAATTATCGACATTTGCCTCAAAGTTGCACAATTCCTTCACTTTGAAGAGTTGGTGACAGTTTTCTCATTTTCGCTGAGTAAGAGCCACCATATTCGCCAAATGAAAAACAGTTTTTTTCATGTGATCGTCAGGGACCTACTGTGTGTGGCTGTGTGTGTGTTTTCTGGCATCTTGGAGGAGTTGCTCAAGTTTCTCTGTCGCGAAGCTGTTTGCCTCGGAGACCAGATCTACTGGTTTGAGTACAAAGAGACCCTAACGGGAGATTATTTTTCTCCTTTTAACTGGATCGAAGCAGCTTTCACTTTTCGGGAAGCTAACCGGAGAGATGGACTTTCCTGACAGATATCGATTTTCCTATTTTCCTTTGTGGTCCGATCGGCAAATCTCAATCATGATTGATTAGATTTCTTTTTTTAAAAGAGCTACAATTAATAACAAAGGAGAATATTCACAGCAAATATTTGACTGAAGACCTATTTGATAGTAGTTTTAAAAAATTACACACTTCATAACCCTAATCAGATTCTTTTTAAATCAATAATCACGAGGCACATTAGTTTTGACACATTTAATAAACAAGGGAAAATTAATTAATTTTCCAGCCTTTCAGAGAAAATTAGCTAACTCCAGGATACAGCTGCTTGATCAGTGCGTCTCCAGTGGCCATTATTATTATTCTCTGGGACTTTTGATGCGATCATGTTTCCTGTTAGGCAACAGGAACTGAAAGCGTCCATTTAGTAGCTTTTACATTTCCCATTTGTATTCATGTCAGGCTCGGCTAGCTGCAAAGCGTTCACACGCGCCTTGCCGTCTACGGCTCTGATATGATGCGGTTTATATTCAGAGAGGGGGACCACCGTGGGAATGATAAAGTGGGAACATGTGACGCTGCTGTTGCTATGGCACTCAGGCATCTGTGTGGCTGGCGAGCAGAACGCTCCTGCATCTCATCTCGATTCGATCCTCTTCATAGGATCGAAACGTAAAACAAAAATCTGGTTAAATAATCAGATTTATTAGAAAAAAATTAATTGATTAAGCATAAAAAAAGGCAGTCTGCTGCTTGGAAAGCCTTGCATTGCGCAGTGTGCGCTGCATCTGTTTTGCGTTACTGAGCAGTGGGGAGTGGGAAGAAGGGAGAGAGAGAAAGAGAGAAAGAGAGAGAGAGAGAGAGAGAGAGGAAGATGTAGGGGGATTTTCTCCTAGCTCTCGTTCTCTGCTGCACTTCACACTGTGTGTTAATAGAGGATGGGAGGAAAAGACACTGAGAGACACCACACTCCCCACTCCATCTGCCGTGAGGGACTCTGCAGATTGAGCATCCCATCCTACCCCCATCACCTCAGCTGCCGTTTTGCCATCCTCCCGTCGCGAAGCCTCACTCCATCCGCAGCTCGTCACTAGATAACCCTCAGAAGACGCCTGGAATAGGAACATCGATCGGGTCTCCTGGGGGATTCCATCACTGTCTCCCTTCAAGACAATGGATGTGTCCAGGAGGAGACGCATCTGGAGGGCTGGGATGTAGAGGCTGCACTGCCGCAGCACCCCTCCTCCGGAGACGGCGTGTTGTCTTTTTTGTTTGGGTCTTTTTTTTTACCTCTGTGGTTTGGGTGGCTTCTCGAGCGCCAGGCTTGCAGGGCTGAGCTCTGCCTTGGGGGTCCACTCAGAGAGGAGCATTCGCTGCTTCTGCTGGGGAGCGCCAGGGGCTCTGGACAGCCCAGCAACATGCCTGAGGCCAACTACCTGTTCTCCGTGTCCTGGGGATACATTAAGGTGTGTTCTGCCTGAGAGTCGGATTCAAAAAGCAAGCCGGATTCGGTTTGAATGCGTCCGACAAATCCCTTCCCATTGATTCAGAAGACTGTGGCACGAACAAATGCACATAAATACCAGTTGACTGCATGGCTACATGTCTATATTTTTGCACTTTGCGGTTTTGACATCAAACACTAACCAAGATGTGCATAACAGCGCATAAAAGCAGGAGAAATCAACAGTAAAAGCCATTTCTCATGATCTTCTTCTTCTTGTCTTTTCACTTCTAGTTCAAGCGGATGCTGAACCGAGAACTGAACCACCTGTCTGAGATGAGCCGCTCGGGCAACCAAGTGTCAGAGTACATCTCCAACACCTTCTTAGGTAAACACTGCAGCATCACAGAACGACTGCAGCAATCATCAGAGCGTTGTGAGGCAGCGTCAGTCAGGACTAACAGAGTCAGCGACAGCTAGAGGTCATAAGGTGACTCAAAGTGATTCCTAAGCCTCGTTAAACCAGTCGAATTCGGTCTGAAGACCTCTGGCTAAGACCAGGGAGCATTAGAAGAGACGATGCATTATTCAACAGGAGAACAGCACTGGTTATAGTCTTTAAAAGCAGAGCGGTGTTTCATGACTCACTACTAGCCTCCTATAGAATTCCCTCTAGCCTCTGTTAGCTTGCAGCCTGCAGACACTGTATAACTCTTTGAAAACATGTTTAAAGTCGACGCTTTATATATATATATATCGATCAGGTCTCCTGAGTGGTGTGCATTTTCTGTCAGAAAACAAAAAGTCAGTTTCAGAGCAGATTCTAGTCACCAGCAACACTTTCGTTGCATTTCAACCAACAAACCAAAAGGAAACAGCGTAGCTCTGCTTGTCTTTGAAGGGTTTTTCTTTCTGCAGTGCATCTGACACGTGTCAGGTTCAAACACATCATTCTCCTGGGTTTTGTGAAGGATGTAGCTAAGACTCGTTTTTTTTTTCTTCTTCTTCCTCTTCTTTGCTGCGGTGCATATGAACATCAAAAGTCATTTCACTGTATGCAGCATGTGAACGTTGTCAGCCAGCAGGCAGACAGACAGACTGAATCATGCACCCTGACTTTGCCCTCATATTTACATGTCTCCCTTTCTGAGCATCTCAGCTGAGAATGAGCTGTTTTTTTTTCCACTTTTCCCTGAACTGTTGTCGCCTCCAGGTTTCGTTTCACAGAACGCGCTGCCAGAATATTAAGTGGCAAAACATCTCATTAGCAAACCTCGACCGCTTTCATTTCATCACAGCGCTGTCATCACATTCGCAGTTTTTGATTTTAATTTAGTTTTTCCTGCAGTCAGTGGGAGTTTTAGTGGAGACAAAACAACTGTTCATGCAACACCCTCTCTGCTGCTTTTAAATTGTTTATTTGATCATCTCTTCTTCTTCTCCTCCTCTTTCTGGTGTTCCCCACAGATAAGCAGAACGAGTTGGAGCTCCCGTGTCCGGTCCAAAAGGTGAGGAAGAGGAAGCAGAACCAGCAGCAGCAGCAGCAGCAGGTTGGGATGATGACACAGATCAGCGGGGTCAAGAAGGTCAACCACACATCAAGCATATTGGGAAACGTCGGCAACCGCTTTGGGGTCAAGACAGACCAGGAAGAGCTGCTCTCAAAAGTAAGTAAAATGCGAGTTTTTTCAGCTAAAATTAGGTGAAGGTAAATTAAAACGGAAGGCTAAAGATGTGAACTTGTGTGTTATTGAACAGGACCTGGAGGACATTAACAAATGGGGGCTGAATATCTTCAAAGTGACGGAGCATTCTCACAACCGACCGCTCACCTGCGTCATGTATAAAATATTTCTGGTTAGTTTCTGTCTTCTTCTTCCTCAACATTTCTCATTACTTTTTTTGATTTTTTTCTCTAAATAAGATCAACAAAATTCTAATCAGGCTTGTGACAATTACGAATTTTGCTGGCCCATGAGCGGTTCCAGTAATTACTGCAATAAACGATAATATTGTTGTTTTGAGACCCTTTTCAAGCAATATATCAATAAATCTGCCCTCTCAAAAAAACCAATGGAATTACATTTTTTAATGAACACCCAACACTAGAACTGGAAGATATTTTAAATATTCAAACCAAAAACAATAAAGGAAAACCCCACAAAAAATAGAAACAGAAAAGCAGAAGTAAAAAAACAAACAAAGCTGAAACCATAAATGAGATGGATTGTGAAACTCTCTGTAAACAAAATTGTCCTTCAAAACATAATATGCAAATATAAACTTTTGAACTCCTTTTAATTGATCATGTCAGTAATTAATTAAACATTTATTTTTATTATAAATATTTACTGCAAGTCGCAATTCTCCTAGCGATGCATTGACATCCTTGGTCATATGTTGTCATTCTTGTTAATTATAAATATTTTAATTCCTTCCATCAACAGATGAAAATTAGCTTGTGTGGCTAAACCTGGCATACTTACTTGACATATTCAAGTTGATTAAAATGCATCCTATCCTTTCTAAAATAAAATAAACTCACAAAAACATTATTGGCTTATTCAACAGGCTTCATCCAAGCTTAATTTGACACCAAAACATCTCCACTTAATCATTTTCCTATTTGTCCTCATCTTCGCCCACACTCAGGAGCGAGACCTTATGCGCACATTCAAAATTCCCCCGGACACCTTCGTGACCTTCATGCTGACCCTGGAGGACCACTACCACTCGGACGTGGCGTACCACAACAGCCTGCACGCCGCCGACGTGGCCCAGTCCACGCACATCCTGCTGTCCACGCCCGCCCTGGACGTAAGTGGCCCAACACTGCCACAATCCAAACTCTTTCCGTAGAGCTAGACTGTTCGCTAATGACTCCATCACCAGCTGCCCTCTCTGGAGCTATTATGCCTTAAATGAGGCGACTTGCATTGCGTCATTGCTCAGCGCATGCCAAAGACGATGACACATGAAAGGATTGGTCTCCAATTGTTGACTGTTACCTCGACTTGTTTGGCCAGTTCATTACCAGCTGAAGCTCATTCGTTTTTAATTTTTTTTTTTTTTTTTTTTACTCTTTCAGGCGGTCTTCACAGATCTGGAGATCTTGGCGGCCATCTTTGCCGCAGCCATTCACGACGTGGACCACCCAGGAGTGTCTAACCAGTTCCTCATCAACACTAGTGAGTCTCTGTGATTGATTTTTTTTTTTAAACTGTTATTATTATTATTATTTCCTTTGGCTCACTCACAAGAAATGCCAGAACTGTCTAAGGAGTCCAAAGGCAACATTGTAAACCTGGAGCAGTTTTTAATTTCTTCCTCCATTCACAGACTCTGAGCTGGCTCTGATGTATAACGATGAGTCAGTGCTTGAGAATCACCACCTGGCTGTGGGCTTCAAGCTGCTGCAGGAAGACAACTGCGACATCTTCCAGAACCTGAGCAAAAAACAGAAGCAGACACTCCGGAGGATGGTCATAGACATGGTGAGGAGCAAATCAGCTCATTGCATGATAAATGAAAATGAGCGCAGGTATTTTTATTTCAACATAAGTCGTCGAAGAGATGCCGCCACTTTGGGAAACGCTGCAAATATTTGATGCTAAATACAAAGTAGTTAGCTTGCACCGCCTGCCACTATTGCCCATTTTCCATGGTTCAGCTGAATGATTATTTTGTGACGATAAAGCTGAAATATCTCATATTCTCCCTTTTTGTCCTCCAGGTTCTGGCCACTGACATGTCCAAACACATGAACCTCTTAGCGAATTTAAAAACCATGGTGGAAACCAAGAAGGTGACCAGTTCGGGTGTCCTGCTGCTGGACAATTACACCGACAGGATGCAGGTGAGGGAGCGCTCTTTGCCAGCGTCCGTCTGTTAGAAACACCACGAAGGGGAAAGCCGGACGCTCAGATCTGCTCTCCCGTATCTGCAGGTGCTGTGCAATATGGTCCACTGCGCCGACCTGAGCAACCCCACCAAGCCTCTGGATCTGTACCGGCAGTGGACCGACAGGATCATGGACGAGTTCTTCCACCAGGGCGACCGGGAGAGGGAGAAGGGGATGGAGATCAGCCCCATGTGTGACAAGTTCACAGCTTCAGTAGAGAGGACTCAGGTAGAGACCACACACCGGAACTGTAGCGATTCATGGAATGAATCCAGGACCTCCATTTTTAAAATTTATCGAGGCAAATCATCTGCCTCGAGGCTTTGCCAAATTATTCTAATTTATTCTGTTACTTGATAAATCATCAGAATAATCAATAATTCACTTACATCAGCCCTACTCCATACCATACTAACATTCCTGGCCTGTTTCCTCTTTTGCCTGATCTGTTCCAGGTTAGTTTCATAGACTTTATCGTCCACCCTCTGTGGGAGACGTGGGCCGACCTGGTCCACCCGGACGCCCAGGACATCCTGGACACACTGGAGGACAACAGAAACTGGTACGAGAGCATGGTCCCCCCGAGCCCCTCGCCTCCTTTCTACACCAGCGACGGAGAGGGAGGCCAACACGGCGAAGACGGTTCCCTAGCGAGTAAATTCGCGTTTGACCTGACCACGGACGCAGCCGTCAGAAGCGACTGTGCGAGGAGAGGCAGTTCCTCTGACCTGGATGGGACAGAAATGACGACGTGTGACGTCTCATCCGTAGAAACATAGCCGGAGCCCGTGGCAGTCCCAGAACGGGACGGTTTCTTTACGCTGAATTTTTGTTTTCAATTGCAGTGGAGGCATCCTGCAATAAGGCTTTTTGGAGCTGCTTGGCAACCAAGGCCTTTCTGAATGTTGGGCAAACCCCCTGCAAACAAGGCTCAGAAACCCTGTTGCGGTTTGTTCTTTCGTCCCTGGCAAGGGAGAACTGCAGAGGGGCAGCTGGAATCGGAGCACTAACAGACCGAAAGTCTGGATTAGATGGTATGAATCTATGAACTGGGGAAAAAAGGACTTCCAAACTTGCACTTCAGGACATTTTTATCTTCATGTAGAATATTTGTAATATCTCAAGACTAAATAACAACCAAAAACTACTGGTCAGCAGGTTACTTGTAACCATGTAGTTTTTTTAAAAAAAAAGGAAAAGGAGAAAAAGTGCCTTTTTTTGTTTTCTTGTACAACCATGTCATTTTGTAAGAGTTTTTATAATTTATTTAACATGTTCATGTAGCTGTAAAATGTGTCCAGTTTTCTACAGGAGGACATTGTTGTCTCGTAGTCTTCCGAACATTCTGGCAATAGTCTCAAGAAGAAGAAATCTGTTGACTTCCCAGCACAATTTGCACTTTGTGGCACACTGTAGAGCAAAGAGAGCGTGGAATGCTGTTTTAGAAAAACGGCGTACATGTGAAGCCAAATAATATCATGAAAACAACCCAAATATGTTTTTGTTTTTTTGTTTTTTTACCTCAAATTCATAAAAAAGACTATTACACAACTTCTGGGTGGAAAAACGTGAAAGTGTCCAAAGATCGTCTGGAAAAGCACTTTGATGATTTCAGTGTTGCTGAATCGCATCCTTAAAAACTTCCTCTGCTATTCTGGAGCAACATCACCAAATCCAAAATTTACGGTCCCTTATTTAAAATGTTTGAAACTTATTTCTAATAGCATTTCCCCATGATTCCATCTTAAATTGTGAGTCATTTTGAATGAAAAAAAAGTATTTTTTCTTTTTGTACAATTCGTGTCGTTTTTTTTGTTTGTTTTTTTCTTTCACCTCAGCACCTTGAAAATTGTCAACAGCCCTGCAGCTGGTTGCAGATCTGTTCCAACGCTTCCTAAAAGGTACCATGATGTCTGGTGAGGGGAGATGAGTTAGTAGTCATAACATGACATTCTTCTTCTGTGAATGTGTGCACACCTGAGCGTGCGTATTCGTGTCCACAGAACCACACAATCCCGTCGCACGCAGCTGTACAGTGCCGACAGTAACGGCGTATTTATTACCTTGTGTTTTCCTTGTACAACAATAATATTGGTTGCTAATATTTACTGTATATTTGCTATTATTTATATGCTCTCCCACATGTCAAATTACAGTTTGACTGAAGCTGTCTGGTGGTGTGTCTGTATCCAGTGAGATATTTTGAATGAGACCGCCTCTTCATGTCACAGAAGTGCGTTTGCTTTGAGGCTCCAGCCAGAAACATTTGTGTTCTCGGCCAAACGATCCGGCAAGGCTGGATGTTTACTGCAGCAGATTGTGTACGGTGACGGGTCATTGTACAGCTGTAGGAATATTTGCTGAAATATTTAGCATTGTTTCAAATGTATTTTTTCAGTGTTTTCCTCACAGTATATTGGTTAAAAAATTTAAAAAAAGACAAAGAAAAACAACAACAACAACGGTATATGTTGTGCTCAACAAATGTTTTCTATGTGATTATTAAAATGAGCATGTAAAACAGAATCATCTTGTCCAGATGTCATTGAGTCATAAACCTTTACTTTTTCTATCTTCCAACCCTTTACTAAAGTTTCAAACAACTTTGTTAACATAATTGTCCTTTACTCATACTTCTGTTGACAAATATCCATGCAAGTGTCCAAAGAGTTATGTGTATCTGATTAGACACAATTATGTTCTAAGAAACATTAAATTTTTACCACTTTCTCCACTCTTTCACAAAGCATTGATAATACATATCAATAAATTCCGAAATATGTTTACGTACATTTGCTGTGTGATAAATCCCACTTTAAATATCTGCCATGTTTATCAAGAATAATATTTGTGTTTCTGGGGTTATGAATGCTATCCCATTCATAACACCACCGACAGTCACCTAAAAAGGCGTGATAAATAGTTTATCATTATATCCATCGATATCACAATACTTCCACAAAATATTGCAATAAAATTCTGAGTCCATATTGCCCACTCCTGTTTGGAGATAAGATTATTCTCTGACATAAATGATTTGTTTATTAAAATTGTACAGAAATCTGAATTAGATGTTTTGTGGGAGAATTTGCTTGATTGGTCCTTGAATAATTGGGAATAATCCAGAATGTTCATTTACCATTTCATTCCTTTTTTTTTTCTAAATCCATGAATGTGGGTTCTTTTTTTTTCTTCTGAACTCGAAGCTCCCAAAAAGACCAGGAATTTTTCTTATGACTTGTTCTCGTGCACCACTGTGGATGAATCTGATGGTTTTTGTGCCTAAAAAACATGCAAACTTCCTCCTTGTTTCCCAATCTTTTCCAAGCAACCCTCGTAAACATGGTCATACTCTATGATATCAACAAGACACAGGTCCCATCTGACTCTTTGTTAAACCGTTTCAAATATCTATCAAACTCTTACTGATCCTGCCTACCTATATTTTTTCTAATGGCTGCTTCTGGCCCATTTACTGGTCATGATTTATTAGCTTTTTTTTTTCATAATGAATTTTCAAGATGTGATTTTTTAGAAAATGCTTTCATTCATGTTATATTTCCTGGGAAAATAGCTGATATTCTGACCAACCACTGAAGCTGAACGTTACGTGCTCTCCACGCTTCATAAACAGTGACACATCTTCTGAAATATTGTTTCCCACACTGTTTCAAGCGCAAACACGACCATCCATCTGCAGCACACCATAGGCTGCTTTTTTTTTTGCGTTTTTGCGTCACGGTTCCAGTTTTGCAACTATGCTAAGTGAAGTAGAACGATGGATGAATAGGAAGAAGGAAAAACTTTATCCATTTAAGAATGGCTAAAGTTTATCCATTTAAATTTATTGTTTATGCTTTAAATATCTCATAGATTAATGAGGTCTTCCTTGCTGCAACACCTCATTTTATCTTCTTTTTGTCTGGGCTTAGGTTTAGTGGTCTTGGCCACTGGTCCTGTGATGTAAACAGGAAGAGTAGAGATAGTGATGCTATGTGCTGCGTCCTCTGGGCATTCTCCCTCCCTTTTGCTGTAAGCACCTTGACCCAAACAGATAAGCATCAGAAATACGTGATGAACAGACCAGAGTGCTGAGTAAGATTAACAGGAAGGAATGTCTTTCACAGATTCCACGTGACGACTTCATCAAAGCAAAAGGGAAAGACATTTCAACAACAAAAAATACATGCGTAGCTGCCACACTGTCAGAATCACTGGCACAGAAAAGCCATGCAAAGAGCCCTTGAACATGTTCCTTTTTTGTTAAACCCAACAAAACCTTGTGTGATTGGCCTGACCATGAAGGTAACTGGCTCAGCAGTCTTTTCCATAACTGGCTCAGCAGTCTTTTCCATACTCTATCAGGGTTTCTTCCATGTACCATGTTTATGGCGTCTTTGTTCTCTCGCTGAAGTTCAATTTTAGTCAAGTCTCACTCGGGGACCTTCTTCCACTGTAGTAGCGCAAACTCTAGTAGCAGTTTACGCTACTAGAGCACAAACTGCAAATCTTGCATATGTAGTTTCTTGATTTTCTTGAATCAATCTAGACAAGATTCAAGAATGTTGTCAAGATTCTTGAGTCTTGTCATAATAATAATAATAATAATAATAATAATAATAATAATAATAATAATAATAATAATAATAATAATAATAATAATAATAATAATAATAATACAGACCTTCAGGGTCTGAAATAACTTAAAAACAACACAATATGTAGGAGAAAACATAAAATGCAGAAACCCTTCAGTAAATCTACAAACTAGATTTACTGATTGCACAACTAGCAGCTGTCTTGTCTTGTCAACAGATTCCATGACTTGTGCTCTGGTTCTATGCAGTTACTTTGGCGCTACCAGTTTCGAGGGTCATCAGTGTTTTAGTAAGTTAGCAGTTCTGCCATACTCCTTTCATTTCTTTGCAACGTCCTCTCTGACCTGTGTACTGGGTTTCTTGGTCTTTATGGTTATGTTTGGTATCTAATGTCCTCTAGCAAACCTCTGAGGATGTCCTACAACAGATAGCATTCATACTGAGATTAAATTACATTCATGTGAATGCTGTTTACCAGGTAGGAGGCAACTGGGGGCAATTTGTTGCGCTGAGTTTTACTTATTTGAGGTATCGCACTAAAGGAGGCTGAATACAAATACCACATCATTCAGATTTTAATTTGTGAAAAAGTTTTGAAAACCACTTTTTCTCTTTTTTTCCACTTTTTATGCACTATTCAGAGTTGGTTTATGTTGAGATCTCTTGGCGTACACAAAAGAAATGAATCAGGAGCGCTACTAGATTCCTTTAAAGATGTGCATAGACTTATTTGGGAAAGTTGCAGATTTTGAGGGCATTTTTGTTCAATTCCAAAGGTTTATATTCATTTTTCTTCATCTGCTTTTCTTCTGAAATGCTCAGGAATCCTTTTGCACTCCCCTACTTTCCAATATAAACAAGGAACTCGCTATTTCACATCTACTGACTGCTGGTGGGCCAGTGTCGAGAAAGACTGGCTTGGAAACATTTTGACCCCAGGTGGGTGTGGATGTAGGCTTTAGTTTGTTGTTTTCAGATGTCTGTATGACAACAGGAAACCTGAACCATCCTCATTCTCTCTCAAAGACCGAGGCAGCTGTTTATCCTAAAAACAGCAAGGACATACTTTACCAGTTTCCATGAGGGTGGTCCACACTGCCATAGCAATGAGCAGCAGGTTTGTTTGAAACGCTAACACAAGCCTTGTGGTGGTGCTAGCGACTGACGTCAGTGGGGTGAAGGTGGCATGCGCCGACCCCAAAAGTATCCGCAGCGTCTGGGTCCAGGCCGGGCCAGACGCTCTCATTGCCAGTTGTTTCCAGCTCGCTGTACCAGCCAAGGCCCTGAGAGGACCAGAGCCCAGGACCGGAGCAGAGAGGAAAAGAACCACTTCCACCAAAACAAACCTGCGCTCTCCATATCCACTTTATAAAAACAAACGTCTTCCTGAAGTTTCTCCTGAGCAGCTGCTGTTTGTTTTTAGTCAGGTTGACAGTAAGAAGTGAAGTCAGCTTAGCCGCCAGTGAGAGAGGAATACGGGGCATTCCAGGATAATTGAATAACGGCGCAGTCGTGTGCGGATGGCACAGATCAGCCCTTAGTGGCTGAGACAGATGGGTTAGGAAGTGATCTCAATGAGACAGCTCTGCTCTGATTAATTTGGAAGAGATCCGATGAGGCAGCTTAATCTGGTGTGTGTGATGCAGTGAAAGGTGAGTCCCCATAAATCACCCAAAAACCTTTCGGGTGTCAAAAAACATAAATGTATGTATGCGTGTGTGTGTGTGTGTGTGTGCGTGTGCGTTTACCTTCTGATCTACACACTCTGAAATTCTGAATTCCAGGGTCAGGACAATAACAGGATGTGTCCTTCCCAAGAAATGACACAAATCATCGAGTTATCAAACATGGAGACAGTCACCATAGATATGCCATTGTTCCTCCAAGAGTGGCTTTGCCTTTGCATGCAAGAAAACTCAAGTAGCTCAGCAGCAAGTATGTGACAGCAGTTACATAATCCACAATAGAGCAAGAAACCTGTCCAAATACATCCACCAACATGTTACGTTCCAAGTAATATGACAAAGCTATAGATATCTCCGTTATTAACCTATGTGATCTTTAAGTTATTTATAAGAGTTTTGCATATCAGAACAGCTAATAATAATAATAATAATAATAATAAAAAGATTTCTGGATCCTTTCTTTGAAATCAGTAAATATTTGAGCAAAAACACATATAACAGGGTCTTTATTTTACAAGAATTAATCCAGAACTCAGACGCAGCATTGGGAAAATTTACTGCATGACAAAATTTCAGGAAACCCACCAGCAGCAGCGTCCTGAGACGAACATTTTCTAAATAACCTTATCAGCCTCTGAGATCTTTGAAGTGGAAACTTGGCCCTCTTCTCTGTTTAATGCTTCACTGCATAGAGGCTTGTGGACCTTTGCTTCTGCAGAGTTCTGTTCAAGTCCAACCACAACATTTTAATCAAGTTGAAGCCCAGACTTTAACTGGGCCATTACAACTGCCTTCTAGTAGTTTGACTTGGTGCCTGTAATTAACAGTGTTATGAGTAGTGTTAGCCACCTTATAGATTCAGTTTTTTTTTTTGTTAACCTTAAATGTGTCAGATCACCAGTGTCGTTTTAATGTCTGATAAAGATGACCTCAGTGGAAAAAAAACATAGTTTCCAGATAATGATTTTACTTAATGAAAGAAAAAAGTGTTTCCTTGTCAATCTGAGTAATCAGCCTTAAGTTAAATCATGAATTATTAACAATTGGCTTTTAAAAACCTAATACATACCTTCTTACTACTAGGCCTACTAGAAATTATTGCCTGATTTAATGACTTTGAAGAACATATGTGAAATAAAACTAAACCAATTACATCAGTCTAGAAACAGTTTCAAACAGTTTCTTTTAACTGCACATCGACAACTCTCTCTGACCAACATCTAAAAACCCTCTAGACCTCATTCCTTTAGTTAGAATCATTCTCCACAATTCACCAATAAGAAAGAAACCTTGCAAAAATGGTTTTCATGGGACGGTTCCAATTCAAAAACCACTGCTGACTCAAAAGAACACAAAGACCCGTTTCATATTTACCAAAAACATCCTGATAATCCCCAAGACTTTTTGCCAAATGTTATGGTGATTGGCGAAACAGAAATGTTTTTAAAAGGATATGGCTCATGTCAGATGATCCATATCAGGTGGAAAAACTCAGTATTTCAGAAAAAGTTAATAAGATCTACAGTCAAATATGGTCGTGGTGGATTGCTGTGGTGTTTCGGGGTGTTCTGCCTGGAACACCAAAGACTCCTGGAGCATTACCATCCTTACCATCAGTTCATGACCTCAAGCCCAAACGTACTTATGCAGCACCAAGAGTGATACATCCTGTTATTAGGTTTAGGGGTTGAACTTTTTAACATGCAGCCAGGTTGGTTTGAATTCGAGGATCCTTCCTACAATGAGTCAATGTTATGAGACACAGGCTTTTGAACCTTTCCCAACGACTCCTAATAACAAATTTAATAACAAATGCTGCTTTAAGCTGTTTTTCCCCCGTGCAATACATTTTCATACTACAACAGAATCACACTAAAAATACCAGTAATATTGCCTTAAGTCAATTTTGTTGCCATTAAGTTGGAAACTGTCCTTTTATTTTCCATTTATTCTAATGTCACACAAAATGGAACATATCCATCCATAAAATAATGATTTTATTTTAAAGTTCACAAACAGAAATTATTCTTTTTTTTTAAAAGAAGGTCAAACATTTTTTGTAAACATGCACATTTACATTTTGTAACATTTTGTGAACATGTCTTCTTTAGCTGAACTGAAGTTGAATATTTCTCTTAGGGTTATAAAGGTTGCAGACACTTGATCCAAAAGAACAACAAACCACCCTGTTTGCAGATTACCGATCTCTTATCATTCTTATCAGCTTTACTGGGACTGGAAATATTTGACGTGGTAAAGCAAGAAAAAAAAAAAAATCTCATCACAACCACGTTTGTTCCACGTGCCTTTCTCTCGATGTTTGCTGCGCTCAATATTTGTCCTCACTTGACTCTGCGTCTCTGCAGCTGTCTCTGAGTGTGAGAGCATGAGATGGCGTGTGGGAGGTGATGCTCATGTTACGTTGCCGTGGCGAAGTCTGCGGTGAGGCAAAAAGAAACTGAGAGAGAAGGGCAATGTGCATACATCAAATCCACCACATCCAGAGGGGTGAGATAAACAAAACTCTCTCGCTGCTGCGCGGCGTAAAGTCCTGACGCTGTCAAAGGTCACCGATCTGACCCGAGATTCTCACTGTCCCTTTTGTTTTTCTTTAAAACACTCACAAGCTGCTGTGATGAGTCAGAATGACCTATATGGTTATAAAGACGCCCCGAAAACGGCTTGTGTGCCTGACCTTTTTCACGCAACCAGCTGAAAATGTTTCAGAGATAAGACGGCTGTTTTACAGTGAAAAGCCTTCTGCTGGATTTTCCCAGACTTGTACAAAAAAGCAGCTTTAACCTTTTCTTGTACAGCTCTGTCTGCCATCTGTTAAAAATTTTTTAAATAATAATGCTGAGCTTTTTCTCGACACCCATGGCGTGTAGGAAAACCGTTGTTTCTCTGCCCGTTCCTTTAAAATTATTTACCTCTCATTCTGAAAAAAAAGAAATAATTTTCCGTTGTCATTATAAAAGCGATCAGATGAGTCAGCATGCTATTATTGTTCTGTTGTAAATTTCAGTGAGGATCTGAGAGCGTCACATTCAGAAATGCTTCCTCTGGTGCCGGGCTGTATTACAGGAACAACAAGGCTGCAGCAAACCTCTGCAAACCTCCATTCTGATGACCTCTGGTCCCCTGGCACCCCCTCCACCACGCTCTCCGCCCCGCCAGCACCATGCACTGCCCTTCAATGTCAACATCCGGGCCGCACGTTGCCCTGTGTGGGGATGATGCAGGATGCAGATAAGGGTGGTTGAGCTGTTGAGCTAAAAAGGAAAAAAAGCGATGGTGGTCAGACTGGTTTCTTGTAAGTATTCCATAGTGTTTGTTCCCCCTTTGTCTCAAGTAAGGAATGTGTATTTGGTAAGGAAAAAAAACATACACAGCGGTGGAAACTTACTCATACTTACAAGGAAATATCAAATCCAAACATACTCTACTTCTGGTGTGTTTCCGAAAGGGTCGTTTCAACATTTTCTCATGTTTACAAGTTTACAACCACAAACGTTGTTTTTAATGGGAATTCATGTGAAAACCAACATAATCAATGAAGTTTATTTGTGTAGCACATTTCAGCAACAGCAGTGCAATAGCAACAACAAAAAGTTACATATTTTTGCAAATAAAGTTCAAATTTGATCCCCTTTTTAGGAACCGAGCAAAATTGCAAACACACTTAAATTATAATGAAAACACAAATACATTTCAGTTTGGTTTGTTTATACACCGTCAATTCACAACAAATGACGTCTCGAGGCACTTTACTTTTAATTCAATTACACATATTCCAACTGATTCTAAATGTTAATCAGTACAGGAAGCAGAGGGCATTAGAAAAAAACTGACACTGTACATCAACCTGAACACACCATCCCGTGCTGAAGCATGGTGGTGGCACCATCATGCTGTGCAGTTGTTTTTCTTCAGCAGGAAACATGGTCCTTTCAGAGCACATCAGCACAAAATCCTTCTGAGGCAGAGTTGAGAAACAACAGAACAAAAATACAGTCTGATACCGGTGCCATTTTGGCATCAATATTATTGATATTTGGAATCAATTCCAAAATTGTCTGAAAAAAAGCTTGAGTAAAAGTAAAATGAAAAATCTGTTTTAAAAAAATTCATCCGATTAATCATCAGAATAATCTTTGCATTGACAGATTGCGTTTGCATACATCTTTAAAACAGCTTGATCTTTAATTGCAGTTGTATGGTGTAAACAAAACCCCAACCGTTAATAGCTTTCAGACCAACCAGGACCCATAACAAGCCCTTTGAAATAAAAGTACCTGTAGCCTTTCTTAATTTTTGCCTTATTTATCAGTTTTCAGGAACTTCTTGGACCCATATTTATCTTGCCACCACACTCAGCCAGCGGGACGATGAGGGAGATGAGAGCACAGTTCACTGCTAGAGAACTCTGTCTTTGGATCGCCAAGTCTGAGTCTCCACTGAGTTGAAATAATTGTCAACTAATTCAGTAATTAATCACTTAATGATTGTCCTAATAAACAGTTTTAATTACAGCCATTAGCACCAACTGTTTGTTTGCAAGTGATAATAAAATGTGAATTTTGCTCAGCTTCACCAGGATGTTCACTGAAACTGCATAATCTGGTCAAATTAGATTCAGATTTGACTAAACCTTCCAGGTGGATCTGCTGTGAAACAGAGGATCCACTTCATGCTTACTGTTGAGCACAGTGGAGGACCTGTAGGTCTGTGGGGTGTTTTCTCCGATAAGCACCTGGGAACGGATAAATGGATTTCTTGTGTTGGTTATCTGCTTGTTCGCTCGGTGTGTGGACGCGTTTGTATTTTTGGAGAGAGAAAAAAGGGAAGTGCCGCGTGTCCAAAACACAGGCCTCGCATTCCAAAACAACATAGACGCTAATCAGAAGCCATCTAGGAGCAGTTTGTGGGAAGCCGGGTCAGTTGGACATGTTCCTGCTGGCTCAGTGTTTTGCTCTGTCATACGGGAAACGTGACCGCCGTGCCTACGTGCGGCTCAGGCCGTCGCCGAAGATGCCATGCCTTCACTCTACTCAACCGTGTCTCAATAGTGTCTTAGCAACAGTAGGTTAACTCTAATGTGTCTGCTTACGACTTCTTCCCAGTTTGCACCAGAAAGTTCAAAGAGCGAAAGTTTTTATCTGTTTCATTTGCCAAATGAGGCCTCCGGAGATTCTCACCGGGGAATTGAAATTTTTGACATCATGAAGCGAAAACGTAAAATCTGGATTTGCTTTGAAGTCATGTTCACACGGGGGCCATTAAGCCAGCATGTGTTATCGGTTCCTACACTATCTGCTCCACAGACCGGTTTTTGATGTTTGGCACATGGGGCCTAAATTATTGTGAGGGGGATTTTGCAGATTTCAGGGGGTCTGTAAAAATGTTTTTTCAGTCTTAACCCAACTGGTTAAGGCTTGGCTTTGACAGAATCTGATGTTGTATACTTTGTAAAGACAGAGTGCGTTACAGAAGGATTTCTACACCTTGAACATTTCCACACTAAGTATTTACTTTGGATTTTATGCGACAGAAAGTTGATACATGGCTGGAAATATTTTACAGGTAAAATTTTAAAAAGTGTGCCGTCCATTTGCATACAGTCCCCCAGTTAAAGCAAATATTTCTGCACATATTTCTGGCAGGGCTGAAATAATAAGAGATGGCATGATGCTGCCACCACCAAGATTCACCTTGGGCACGATTTGTTCGGTCAGCTCTCTGTTTTTGCATTTAAGTCAAACATACTTTTTTCTGACCAGAGAAACTAGAAACAAACACTACGTGTTACAGTTTTCTTTAAAAGTTGTCTTTATTTTGCCACTTTTCTATAAATATCAAATATGTACAGTACATTCTATGTGAATTGTCAATCTATATGGCTCCAGTTATGATAGGTCTACCTCTTTGAATACTCAGGCTTAGACTGAATGACACAAATATGAACAGTGCATTTAAAGTTATTATATAAGTGAATCCTAAATATACATTTTAACAGCTTCCAAGCAAAGAGTCAAACATAATACCACAAAATGTATTTTCCTTATTAATAAAATCTAGTATTAATCTGGTTTAATTCACATCCACGTCGAAATGTAGGGCCTGCTACTTGAATTTACTTAGCACTTCCAAACGCCTCTTGCATGGTTTGCGTTGCAACAGCGACATCTTGTGGCCAAACCGAAGACACTGACAGCCACGGCCTTAACTCATTCGGCAACGCGCGGAAGTCACCGGCGGGCGTCGCTGTTGCGCTGTCTGCAAAGCTCACAGCACAGGCAGCAGAAGTCAGCTCAGAGCAAAAAAAAAAAAAAATTCCTGCCACAGCTGACTCGGACGCCATCTTTGTCGCGAACATAAACAACATAGGAGAGTCGCGTTGGCATCTCGCTGCGCCGCTGCTGCTGCGCGGAACACGACCACAGTTCTTCCCAACGTGGAGTTCATCCTTTCAGCCGGATAATGTTAGCCGCCCTGGGCACCTGACACACCTGACAGGTCGGTGGGACGACGCGTGCCTGTCGAGGGGCAGCGTGAGATAGCTGGGGTTACTTTGAAGAGGTGGAAGCGGTTGTTAGCGTGCGCGAGCACGGTACCATGACAACGGTGCGGCTCTCCTTATGAGCACATCCTGAGACGTTTCGGTAACGTCTGCTGCTGAATAATAATAATAAATATAACGGCGACCGGGGGTTTTAAAGCGGTGCAGAGCCAGCATGAGCCCGCACCACAACACGACCACAGCGGGCTGACCGGGCCGCTTGCGTCGCGTTGCCCGTTAATAAACGGTCTCGTGCCTTTAAATCGCTCCCTTGGTGCTGCGTGGTTTGAATGGAGTTGTTTTGGTTTGTACAGAGATGGAGATCCTCTGCGGGTTTCCTCACCGGGAGGGAGCGGAGGTGTAGAGGGGGCGGGAAGAGCCAACCCCCCCCCCAACCACCACCCAACCCACAGCACTGAACGGATGGACCAAGAGTACGAAAGACGGCTGCTGAGGCAGATCAACCACCAGAACCTGCCCACAGAGCGCCGCATGACCAAGGTGAGCAGGGCAGCAGCGTCACTGATGCTTAGCATGAAGAGACGCCGTTAACACAGACTGACTTCTGCTCTGAGTTGTCACTGAGCTGAAGATCCTCACAAACAGTCTGAGGGGAAAAAAAGAGGCTTAGAAAGATCAGAGTTGTTATTTTTCCTACAGAAAAATATAGGAGAAGATATTACAGTATGAAACTTTGTCTTTCTGGACGTTATTTCCCGTCTCATTGTGATCCATCTATTTGTCAATCCATGTTATTATCCATTCATCCATTTCCATGTCTATTTAAGCTCATGGAAATGGATGAATTTCATCATCTTTAGTAAAGATCGTTTCAGCATCATTTCACTTTTGTAACCCTTTGAGAAACACCTAGTTTTTTATATGTTCTACATTTATATATTTGTTTATTAGGCTGTTGTTTTTTATCTGGGATCTCAGTTTGAATTTTGTAAATGTGAGCTGGTTTGACTTGAATCCGCCAGTTTTGCGTGTCCATCCATCCACATATTAACTCATTTACATGTGTATTTGTTTATCATTTAGCAGAGCTCATTTCAGCTTCAGTTCTCTTTTTAACTCTGTTAATAAATGCTTCATTTTCATAAGTACTCCATTTATATATTTATTCATTTAGTTACTGGGCTTTTTAAATTGGGACTTAAGTTTGAATTCTCTCACATAAATGTAGACGTGAGGTTGTTTGACAACAAAAGTCTTCATCTATGCATCCATACATACATAAATAATTATACATTCATCCATTTACATCTGTTTATAGCATTTAGCAAAGATCATTTCAGCATCAACTCACTTTTATAAGTTCTGAGTGTTTTTTATAAATACTCGATTTCTCTATTTATTTGTTTATTAGACATTTTTTTAAACTGGGACCGTAGTCTGAATTTTGTTCCATAAATACGTAAATGCGATTCTGATGTATTGTCAAAATTCATGACTGGATGGATTTATTGGTACAAATCCATCCAGTCATCCTTCTTTCCGTCTGTTTATCTATTAAACAACGGTGCGGCGTTTGGTTCTGACAGAACGGGGTGTATCCTGTCCTCAGTAACCATGCTGGGGTGTTTGTTGGTTTCCTAGAGTTTAGGAGCTGCCTGCAGCCCTCTCAGTGTGAAGTCAGGGGATCGCTTTATTCCCACTCGCGCTGGAAGTAACTGGAGCATCAACTTCCACTATGCCAACGTAAGAGCTTTATGTAACCCGTGCAAGCTGTTCATTTAACAAACAAAAAAACAAAACACTGAGCTCTTTGACCAGTCGTGATTCAACGATAGATGCTTCATGGATTTCCCCTGCAGGAGAACTGCCGCTCTCCCGCGCAGAACCACAAAGCGAAGGACGCCAGCTCCGACTCCAGCAAAGGTCAAAACCCCGCCCCTCCCGCTCGCTCGTCCGTTGTTGATCTCTGATCCTGATCCGCTCCTGGGTGCACCGTGTCTTTCCTCCGTCAGATGCCGTGGCCTACGCCGCCCTGCTGAGGAACGAGCTGTTGGGCGCCGGCATCGAGACGGTGGCGGAGCCTCACGCCGACGACCGGCGGCACGAAGTTCTCGCTTCAGACTCCTGCAGCCTCTTCAGGGTGCAGATCACCGTCAAATCCTCATCAGACGGAGCCGCATCAATCTGACTGGAAGGTGTAACTCTTTGTCGTCTTCGTGTGTGTGCGATCTCTGCAGTACGCTGTCCACACGAAGAGAGTGCCTTGCGATGGCGGTAATGAAGTCTCCCCATTCTCACTTTCTCCGCTCAGCAACAAGAGGTAGCAAACGTCCCAGCAGACATTTACTGGAGTTTCTGTTCAGCTCAGATATTTTTTCTTTCCTTTCTCTCCCTCTCTCTCTCTCTTTGCCGGTTCTCTAGTCACAAGCTGCTCCGTTCGCCCCGCAAACCGGCGCGAAAGATCTCCAAGATCCCGTTCAAAGTCCTGGACGCTCCGGAGCTGCAGGACGACTTCTACCTCAACCTGGTGGACTGGTCGGCGGGAAACCTGCTGAGCGTGGGGCTGGGGGCCTGCGTCTACCTGTGGAGTGCCTGCACTAGCCAGGTCAGATGGGAGCAACACTGCTAAGTAAAAGCGCTGATTGATCGACTTAATGATAAATTGTTAGGGTTAAGGTTAACCCTGACAGAAAATTGTGGTTTTCTGGCTTTATTAATCTGAGCCATACTAATAAAATATAGAAAAACAAGGGCCTCTTAGGTTTCTGAATAGAAAAATAAAAGATGGCAGGAATAAAATAGGTGAAACAATGAATCCCCATGAACACAGAGTTGGAAGCACTTTACAGGAATGTTAAAACCTGAATGCTCCATGCAGTGCATTATTAATTCACAACAGCGCTCTAAGTCACCCTTGCTTCTCAGAATCATGGTATGTTTGTTGTTGGGTTTTTTTTTTCATCATTTCTCTGTTATTGTCGCTGTCTTATGATGTATTAGGGCCGTTGTAGATAGGTAAACAAAGGAGTAAATCTTTGCTGAAATTCTTAGAAAACTTGAGATTAATCTAAAGTATTTTCTAGAAAGAAAAAAAAAAGCGGAAATTTCTGAGCTGGAAAAGTCAAACATTCGGGAGAAAAATCTCAATGAGCCACTGAGGTTGAACTTAAGGAGCTTGTTGTTCTGTTATATTTCAAAGCAGAGCCTCATGAAGTTCGATCGACATCCCACACCCAACTTTGTGTGGACCATTTCTTTTTCACGTCCTGACATGACGCCACCTCTATTTCTGTACCAACTGGCTCTGCTTAAGGACGACCTCTGTTGTTTGGCAGCCAAACTACGGCACTAAAAGAAAGTCTCAGTGGACGTTTAGTTATTTGATTAGAACAGCTCTTAATCGATTAAACCATTAGTTGACAATTAATTGTAAGTCGATTGTGAAAAGATGTTCAGTATTTAATTTGAGGCACTTGTTGAATGCAGAGGCAGCTGTTTACTATCGTTTTAATTGCTAGTTTTATCCACTCATTCTGCCACAACCGGCCCTTTCAGGACATACGGGATCTTTATCATGAATGACAGAAAATGAAAATTAGTTTGATGTAAATCCAACTGTGACACACAAAACGGGTTTCAGTATTTCCCACAAGACATGGTACAGTATTGAGTTGGATAGGAATAGATGTGATATGCTTTATATTTGTTTGTAAAAAAAATACAAAAATCATTAAAAGCTTTCTGATACCAACAGGTGACCAGGTTATGTGACCTTTCAGTTGACGGGGATTCTGTCACATCCGTGTGTTGGAATGAGCGGGTGAGGATCCTGAGTGTATCAAGCTGCTTCTTAGATACGTCTGAGGTGAAAAACTGACTCTTTATTTTCCTCCGGATGCCTCAGGGAAGCCTGGTGGCTGTAGGAACCCACAAGGGTTACGTTCAGATCTGGGACGCAGCCGGAGGCCGGAAGCTGACGTGTCTGGAGGGCCACTCGGCCCGAGTAGGTCAGTCCGGCCCCAGCCGAGCATCGCAGGGCCGAGTGACGCTCACGCAGTCAAAACGATGAGGTTTTTTGTTTGCTTTTGTCGGAATCTTTGGTGCTGCAGGTGCGCTGGCGTGGAACGGGGAGCAGCTGTCGTCAGGGAGTCGGGACAGGGTGATCCTGCAGCGGGACGTCCGAACGCCGCCTGCCGCGGAGAGGAGGCTGCAAGGTCACCGGCAAGAGGTGTGCGGCCTCAAGTGGTCTCCGGACCACCAGCACCTTGCTTCTGGAGGCAACGACAACAAAGTAAGGCACTCTAGTGGAGATGCGATCCGATCTGATAGGAATTTACTGAAAAAATTTGAAATTGGTATTGGTGACAATGTGCCTGATCCACAAGAACAGATCTATTCAGTCTAAGTCTATGCTTTGCGCTCTGAGCGACATCATGCCTTGTTATTTATTTTACATTATATTTAGAGTTCGTAATTTCACTTTCTAAACCATTTGACAGAAGTTGCAGTTTATCCTTTACATGTTTGACAAGCTTGTGAAGCTTTTGGTGTATTTAAATGTGTGGTTCTGGTGCAGAGTTAATTCATTACATTCATATTTGTGATTAAAAACAGAAACATTTAAGTTAAATCATCTATGTTTTCCTGTATCAGATCAGAATCAGCTGCAGTGAAGTGATTAAAGTGGACCATTGCGTCTTTAAACTGTAATAGTCAGCCTTGGCTTTAATTAACTGCTTATTTATCTTTGGCCACAAGGGGGCCATAAACCTGCATTATAGACATAATAATAACACCAAAATATGAAGTTTTTTTTTTTTTTAAACCCTACTTTTGAATGATATAAGATCTTTATTAAACATTTATACAAGAAAATAGCTAATAAATGTAATATTTGTAATCATACAGAAAGAATTTGTTTTTCTTCAAAACATTATAAAGAATGTTTAGACCAGAAAAAAAAAATCAATTCCATGGAGAATTGCAATTTCTAGTCCTGACAATCCTGAATTGATTAAAAATGCTCAAACTGATTTTTAGGCTGCTTAAATTTTTGTAACACAATTATCTATTTTTTTCAGTAATTCTTTGAAGTTGTTTTTTTTTTTTTAATTTAGGAAAAAAACAGGTAGCTAAGCTAATCTATTGCTGGCAATTTAAGTTACCAAATTTTGTGCACAAACGTATATTTCTTTCGATATACACTAATGGAATTTGATACAGTATAGATTCCTATAGAATTGTTGTAAATAAATGTGCTGCGAGGGCTGCGCAGATTTTGTCCAGCAGCTTCCTTACTCTTGTCCTTTTATTTTTTCTTTTTTCCGTCCAGCTGCTGGTGTGGAACAGCTCCAGCCTCGTCCCCGTGCAGCAGTACAGCGACCACCTGGCGGCCGTGAAGGCCATCGCCTGGTCGCCTCACCAGCACGGGCTGCTGGCCTCGGGCGGCGGCACCGCCGACCGCTGCCTGCGCTTCTGGAACACCCTGACGGGTCAGGCGCTGCAGAGCACCGACACTGGCTCCCAGGTCTGCAACCTGGCGTGGTCCAAACACGCCAACGAACTGGTGAGGAGGATCATCCGCACCCATAGTTAACGCAGAGAGACTCCATGGCTGAGTTATTGTGATTTCTCTTCAAAAGCTGTGAACATTGTTCTTGTTGAATTTGTTTTTTTTCCCCCAACATTTTAGATAAATTGAAAATTGCAAGAATGCTAAATCTTACCAAGCATCTTTTTCTAATTTCTACTGCAAATATCTTGGTGCACTTAAAATACGACAAAACTAACTCACAAGTAAGTTTTCAGCAAGATGTAGCAGCTTGTCTTAAGTCAGTAATTCTGTTCTGGTTCCATTGGAAGATTATTTCACTTAGAACATGGGAAAAATGTCTGGTTATTGGTGAAACTTTGAGAAAAAAACTTCTTGAGAATAGCTTAGGCGTCTTCACACAGTAACTTCCACACTGAAGAATGTTGTTAGCTCAACCTTAAATACGGTGCATTCAATGGTTCTGACCAGTCCATCTGGTCAGGTGTAAAATCAGCCAGTTACCTTCATAAGCTAATATCATGGCTCATTTTTGAATGTATTGCACAAATGAATATATTTTAAAAAATATATTTCCCCAGAGATGTCAAATGAAAATGTGTATGCATTACCTGTGTTTTTTTTTTTTTTTTTTTTTTTTTTTTTTGTCCAGGTAAGCACTCACGGCTACTCTCAGAACCAGATACTGGTGTGGAAGTATCCGTCTCTGACGCAGGTGGCCAAGCTGACCGGACACTCCTACAGAGTCTTATATCTGGTATGTGCAGAGCTGCTTTCACCACATAGCAAAACGTGAAGAGGAAGCAAACTTGGCTGCTTTCTTTGCTCAGATCCAACGCAAATGAAATCCACGTTTTGATCCGTTCAAATCGATCCAATTCATCAGTGGCGGGCACCGCTAGCTCAAAAGTTAGCATAGCTAAGCCTACTGAACATAATGATGCATGTTAGTTTTGCTAACTCTAAAGCGCTACACATTTAGCTGAAGCGCAAATTATATCTGCCCTTGAAAAACCACAACCACAGCTATCACCGATTTCATTTACACGTTATGTGACACCCATAGATACTGTATTTATGTTTCTAACTTGTTCAACTGTCTATGTTTTATGTTGCTCCTGTACGTTTTATGAAAAGTTACTGAATTGAAAAAAGGGAGAACATGAGGGCAGAAACTGTATAAACAGTCGTCACACTTCAAAATAAGAGCATTAACAGAAACGTCTACCGACTTGAAGAATTTTTTAAAGTCGATAACAAAAATTTCAATACAGACATAGAGCCTTATTTAACTGGCAAGTAAATTGGTGGTTTAGAAATAATCTGGAAAAATTAATTTGGGGTAATCCATGAGTGCTGAATGTTTTCACTGTGAGCGCTAAACATAAAATTAGCTCCCATATTAGCGCACTCGCAAATTGGCAGAAGTATGTACACCACTGCAATTCATTCTAATCAACCCAGTCTTATTGCGTCAATGCGTATTTGTAAATGGATTAACAAACTTTACTACGGGAATAAAATGCAGATGTCTGAGCCGTCTGGTTCCCGCTCCACTGCAGCTACCATTTGCAGCAGGGTTCGAGGTTTCAGTTCCCCGCTAGATTTCATGTTCTCTAACCCGGTCCTCATCAGGCCGTGTCCCCGGACGGAGAGGCCATCGTCACCGGAGCCGGAGACGAGACTCTTCGCTTCTGGAACGTCTTCAGTAAAACACGATGCACTAAGGTGAAAAAAGAAATAAATGTTTTACACTATTAAAAAAATAAATAAATAAAAAGAAAGAAAAGTTTTAAAGTTTAAAACCGAAACTGAAAGACCAAAAATTGAACTGAAAAGATTTGAAACTAAAAGAAAAATGCCATTGCGACCCTCCATCTTAAAAATCTCCAAACAAAATAATCACCATTTCCTTTCTCTCTCCAAACAGGAATCAAAGTCCGTGCTGAACCTTTTCACAAGGATACGATAGTGGGCAGCCATTGGTCAGGGAGGCTGCAGGAGGATCCTGAGTGGATGAAATTCACAGACTCATAGACCCTCTGCAATGAGCACCCACCTCCACAGAGACTGTCCTAGTTCAAACATTTTCCACCCTCCCATCGACGACTGTCGCCCTCCGGAGCGACGTCGCAGATTAAAAACAGAAAGTCGCCATGCGCGCTCTTCTTAAAAAGTCACTCTTGCTCTCCTTACTGTTGTGGATGTGATCAAGTTGTTTTCTTATCTATTAGCAGATATGAGAGTTCTAAGTGTAATGATGGAAGCTTTTTTAAAAAAAAAAAAAAAAAAAAAAGAAAAAAAGGCTGTCGGAGTGGAGGACAGAGGGGGGAGGGGCTGGGCTCGGATGTTTCCATAACGCAGCAGCATGCGACAGGAAAGAGGAACCAATCAGTAAACACTCATTCACCTGCAACCACAGATTGGTTTAATCAGTGTTGGGTTTTTTTTGTTTTTCTTCCAGTAAATGTACATTCATGGCACTGTGACACTTTCTGACAACTATTTTATTAAAAACATGTCCCACAGTGACTTAGATGTGTTGTCGTGTCCGAGTGTTTCTCTGTTTTCCAGTGTCTCGTCCTGAGCGCATCGTTCTGCTCCGGGTTGTTCTGCCGACAGCTAGCATTCAGAGAAGCCGGCCCCCTGCAGCCCCCTGCAGAGCAGAGAGAACTCCCTCACCGTCTCCTTAACGCGACGCTTGTTTGTTTGTTCCCTGGAAGGAAAAGCTGTTAAAGTACGAACATAGATCATCAAGTGATTGCTGAGTTGACTCACTGATCGAGTAAAACACAATCATAGATACCTTGATTGCAGCAAATGTCAGCTTACCTCAGGATCTGCTGAGAGAAGGCGTGCTTCTGCTCCATAGTCACGTGTGCTGATGGGAACCCGGGGTTCTGCAGGGTTTCTGTGAGCCACTGGGACAGCAGAACCGGACTGTGTCTGTTCAGATTGAGCAGAACCTCGGAGAAGTTCTCCGCCAGGCTGCGGGAAGAACCCCCTCCGACTGCCTGGGAGATGAGCAAAGCAGACGCATGAGGGCGGTGACGCTCCTCGGGGCGATGCAGACGACAAGCCGGTCTACCTGCAGCACCGTCTCTGTCAGGATCTTTCCATCCCTCTGCAGCACGTCGCTCAGAGCCGGCATGTCTTTGCAGCGACTCAGAAACTCTGTCTGTCGATAAAATGGCAGAAACTGAAAATCAAGTTGTGTGATTTGAGGAAAAAGTTCCCGATCTGAAATGTCACACCTCCCTCCCCTTCCCGTTTGCCGCTTACAAAGAATAGACAGGCTGCTTTAACAGTGGGCGTCTCTGGGAACTTGATGGACAGAATCCCTGCAGAAAAACAGGAGGGAATATTTTTGAAGCCCTGCATTTCGTGGTTTTGTAAAGAACGCCATCCTGCGCTGACGCTCACCTGAGTAAAACAGAGCTTTGACGTCCAGCTGGGTCGACGGGTACAAATCAGGACTCCTTTTGAGAATCTAAATGTTTGACGGACAAAGAGTTCTGCAGCTGTGATGTTTTCAATTACTGGCTGCTTTTCAATGCGCTTTCCACCAACCTGAGCGTGGAGGTTCATGAACGACTCTGCGATGTCAGGATGATCCCTTGGACCTGACCAGTCACACGCACAACACAAAGTAAATTGCTTCAACTTGCTTCCAAAGATCCAAAATCATAAATCACTAAAGGTCAACTGGACCCCTAAACATTTACAAAGTCAAAACAAATTTTGCATCAAAATTTTAGTTGCACAAAAAGAGCTACATTAATTTCTGTGAACTTTGTTTGATTCTGGTAATGTGGGAGGGAGGAGGACAGATTGATCTCTGAATACCTCTGGAAACTTTTTAGAACGGCACACACTAAAATTTCTGCTGCACAACTAACAGTTGATTGGCACCACATTTAGTTTGACTTTTTGAATATGGACTGGTTGGTTGACCTTTGATGACCTCTGAAAACATGCATATCTGTACAAGGAGGGCGGCGCAAACAAAAACATTTTTGCTGCATAAACGTTTGACAGCAATGGAGGATTCAGCTTGACTCAGGTCTATTGATCCCGATTCAAATGTGTATGAAAAAATTTCAATTTTTGAAGCAAAATAAGTTATAACTCGAATACAGTGGAGCCTTCGTTACCTTGCTGGAATATAGAAAGCGTGGTTGAGGTCAGCACTTCCACAAGACTTCTGACGTCCAGCATGTGTTGCTCCTCTCCAGCAAAGATGTGCACCATCTGAAGAGAACGTGAAATTAATCCCGGCTTTTCCACGCCGTTTTTATGACATTTTCTTTGTTTATCCCAGCTCAGATCTGTGGATCCATGCCTGACGGGTCAGGTCCAGGGCAGGGGCTTGTGGGTAAGTGCTGTAGATTTGTCCCAGCGTCTCACTCAGCTGAGCCACCATGGGGCCAAAGTCGTGCAGCAGGGTCCGGACTGATTTATCAAAGACCCCACACACTGCCTAGGTTGAGAGACCAAGAAAAGGCTGATGAAATGTATGTGCAGCAGTCAGATGAAGTGATGAGTGAGCAAAAAACAAAAAAAAAAAACGAAGAAAATACCTCAACTACTTCTGAGTCATGAAGCCATTTGCTAATGATGGTCTGGATTATAGGGAACACTTGCTGCAGCACAGCCACAACCTGAACGAATCAGGTAAAATACACAAAAATATAACCTTTCACTTTATTATTGCACCATTTTTATTGATTTATTTTTGGTAAACTAACTGGGTTTTGAATGCTCTGTGCAGCTGCGAGTCTGGGGCTGGCGTCTTCTTCGTCCAAGCCGTCAGCATGCCTCTTGACGTCCAGGGTGGTAAACAGGCTGGACAGCAAACCCAGGATGGACACGATGCCTTGCTTAGTGGCAGGGTCAGGCTATTGAGATAAAAATGTCATTTTGACATTTGCAGACATTTCTAGATCTTACAGTGAATTTTTAGGCGATTTAGTCTCCAGACCAAATTCTAGCTCCAGAGCTGATCATCAGCTTCATTTGAAGGGACAACTCATTCGTTTAAAGCACAGGCGTCAAACTCCAGTCCTGGAGGGCCACTGCCCTGCGACTTTTAGATGTACCTCTGCTGCACTGTGGAGAACTGATCTACACAAGCAGGAGGTAATGAAGCCATTTCATTCCAGTGTTTTGTACGTGTGGCACATCTAAAACCTGCAGGCCCTTCAGGACTGGAGTTTGACACCCCTGGTTGAAAGGACATTTCATCTCTTCTACACCATTAAATTAATGCTGAGTTCAAGCAAACCTCTAAGAGAAGAAATTATGCTTCCTACTTTTGATGAGTGGAAGCTATGTGTACACATGTAGACGGGCCTATTTAATGTATGCACACAGGATCTGTTTCAGAAACCACATAAACGCTTCACAAATCCACCCCGGAGTGTTGTTTTAATCATTCCAAACCTACAGGGGGCAGTGGAGCGCAAAGCTAAAGCCTGTAGCAGACAGTTAAATTACTTTAAAACAAGACTTCCTGTTAGAAATGAAACGTGGCAGCAGGAGGCTCAATTGTGTGGACAGATATAAACCATACGGTCGGTTTACTTGAGGCTCTTTGGCAAACATTTAGTAAAGTCAAAGTGTAGTTCTATAGCACATTTACAGCAGCCTCAGCTGACCAACAAACATCACAAGTAGATAAATGGAAAAAAAAAGAAATAAAATTTAGTAAAACTAAAAAGACAAATATTGTGATGAAACTTTGAGTCCATATCGCTCACCCCTAGTACACATGTAAACACAAATATTGAGTTCTGTCAAATCTCCACTTTGGTTGGACTTTTTATAAATAGTCATTTTTAGTTTTACGCAACTGAGCTTTTGTGGGTATTAAAGGCCTAAACGCAGAAAAATGTATCTGTTTTCCCACATATCCAGATACGTGTGGTCTTGGTCTGTTTGCACAGGTCAGACAGACTCCAACAGTTATTTAGTCCTTTTTGTAAACTCCTTTGTGCTTCAGGCTCACCTCCTGCCGAACCAGTGAGTCCAGATGCTGAATGTGAGGGCTGATGAGTGAGTGCAGTCTGCCCAAAATCTCCTCTGCTGGCAGGGCTGACAGCAGGAAACCCAGGGCCTGCATCAGCCACATGCACTGGCTGCTCTGCACACACACACACACACACACGCGCGCGCACACACACACACACGCACACCAATGCAGCTGGTTGTTTTAAAACTAAAAACAGAGCTAATAAGATGTCCAGGGTGCTTATTCACCTCATGGATTTCTTTCACCAGCACATCCTTTTGGAAAAGAGCAGAAAGGAAACAAAATAATCAGAGTTGTGACGACGTGGAGGCGCGACGGGTTGAGTGTCAGACCTGAGACACGGTGAGGATGTCCTGGGCGTAGGGTGCCAGGTCCTGCCGGCACTCCCTGCAGATCCGCTTGAGTGTGGAGATGCTGGAGACAGACAGTTCCGCCTTCACAAGGCCCCGCAGCACCATGGGTAATATGCCACCCAGCATCACCGGGTGGTCCGCCAGCCACTCAGCCAGTGACCCTGCTCGACATTTTTGCCTCGTCACTACAGCAGCCTAAAGCGGACTCCGGTTTCACAAACTTGGCTCGAACCAAATGCTGTTCGCTTTCGAGATTATTTATAGAATTGAAACTGGGGATGCAGCGATCTCCGTCTTTCTGCTTGCAATACCAACACCGATATCTGAGGTTTAGCATCGGCTGATAGCGATCCGATGCAGAAAAACAGGGCTGAATTTACTTAAAATATTTCTTCTTCTTTTTAAACACAGGCTTTTAGGAGTCAATTAGGAGTATGGCACCCAATGTAAAATAAACAAAGAAACCGAAACTGACAAAAACACGTTTAACTTGCTCAAATATGCTAAAATTAACTGCAACAAACTTTTTTTCAATTAGGCATTCTAAATATAACGTAAAAGAAATAAACCATGACGTCACTCAGAGCACAAAGCGAAGCATTAGATTGATTAGATTTACACTTGTGGATTGTCGCACCAATTTTGTTTTTCAATACTGGAACTGATACAAGCGTTAATATTGGATCGATGCATCTCTAATTTAAGAGTTAGATTTAAAAAACATCCATTTTAACAGACTGATGAGAGCAATTTACTTCAAAGTTAGGCTTTATACCTATGGTGTACATGACGGTGTCGGCCAGCATCACGTTGCTGATGTTGATTCTGGGGATCAGACCAATAAGACCAGGAATGACATCAGAGTAGTTCACGTCGATGGTCTCGGCTATGGACTGGAAGCCAAACAGCAGCGCTTCGATGTCCTGAGCAGAGCAAAAACAGCAGGCTTCAATCACTCAATCAATCAGTTTATGCACTGGATTGAACTAATTTTATCATTAATTCACAGACACATTTTCTTACATCACTCTCTACACAAAAGTGCAAAGGCAGCAGAAGGGAGAGGAAAAATAACCCCGTATAAACCTGCCCCGTTCTCAGTAATTACAAAATACATTTTCATGTCTGTTTTAAGTCAAATAAAATGAAATGTT